CCCTGGGGTAAAGGTTAGTAACAGGTAAGGGTTTGCTTAGGGTTTTTGGTATGGGGTCTCTGTTTTTGACTGTAGGAAGGGAAAAGGGGTTATTGATAGGATAGAAAAAAAGGATTATTGATAAAAAGAAAGTATTCTCCTTTTACAATTATTTTTATGGACTGGTGACAGCAGGAATGGGAAGGATTTAGGTAGGAGAGAAGCAGTCTTTATTCCTATTACCCTCTTGATATGTGGTTGTGGGGGATGTGATGAAAAACTGTGTTAGGCATTTTAAATTATAGATGACATATAAAGAGAACATGCAATTGTTAATACTTTTCCTGTGAGTTTATGGTGAGGGGTTATTTTAAATTTTTTGGGTGGGGTGGGCTAAGGGTCCAGGTTTATATTTGTTTTTAGGGGGGATAAAAACAATAAAGGTAAATAATATGGAACTTTGTGTAATAAGAAGGATCTGTAAAGAGCTAATAAAATACATATATTAACAGAAGAGTTTTATACATTATAGTATAAGGAGTTGGATCGAGGAGTGGTGAAAGAAGATGTGAATTGTCTACGTAAGTTGTTCAAAGACGGAGAGAAATGGAAACCAACCGGCCGGTTGAGGAGAGAAGGACGCACCGGCACCAAGGCTCCTTTGGGTTGCGAGTCATCAGGGGCAAAGCACAACCGAGCGAGGATGTTTCTAACCTGGCACCAGGTCAATCCCCGTGCCGAGTCCCCGTTGAAGAAAGCGAGAAAAACTACACAATTATAGTGAGAAATTAGAAAGTCATTGGAACCTATTCCAAAGGAAAAACAAAAAACAAAAACAAAAAAATAAAAAAATAAAAGAAACCTTCGATAACATAGAGGGAAGTAAATATGTGCACTAAATAAAGAAAATTTCAGATATTATGGAAGAGAGAAGTAATGTATACAAATAAAAAAAAATTTTTCGGAGATAGTTCGGAGGACAATGCAATGCTCATGTAGAGAAACAAAGAATGCGGTGCTAATACAGAAGAGAATACTTATGTAAATTAAAAGAAAAATAATTAAATGAATAAAAAAAACAAAACAAAAATAATTTCAAGTGTGCGTACACTGAAAGGAAGTGTCATGAAACGGGAATTAGAATTAAGAGGGGAGGTGTGTGTTATTTATATGAAGAAAATAAAGATAGATACCTTAAGAAATATGAGAGGGAGCTGCCTTGTCCTTAATATCCAAAAGAAAAAAAAAATTTATATTTCTAACGAAAAAGGTTTTTCGCTACCGGCTCCGTGTCGCGAAATAGTGGAGTTGAAAGATCTTAATCTGGGACGGTCACGTCAGAATGGCGTGATCGTATTGCGTGAGTCTTATGACGTATAGGTAACGCGCGATTGCTCTTGGGAAATTGATGAAGAGTGTTTAATCGATCTTCGTCGTAAAAGGGATTTTGGCCCGCGAGATGTCTAGAA